TTTGATTGGATGATGGATATCAGGCTCTTATAATATTGGTTAATAACATTTTCTCTTGATGTGCAGATTTGATACATGAGCAGGAAAAGTTTTTTTTGTTTTTTACATGAGCAGAATTTTTTCCCCCTTTTTTATAAAATACATATACATTTTTCTAATAATATGCAATGATGAATTGTGTTCCAAAAATTAAGCAATTTTTCATTATAATATGCATATGACTTTTACAAATATTTTGTAATGATAAACTGTAAAATGTTATGAAAAAATTATAATATGCATGCCGATTAAAAAAAAATGGAATGATTAATTATGACAAAATATGACATCATTTGTTTTCATTATAATATAAATATTGATTTTTTTAAATATGCAGTGATGAATTGTAAGAAATAATGAAAACAAATGTTCATTATAATATGCATATTATTTTTTAAATAATATGCAATAATGAGTTGTGAAAATTATGAAAACAATTGTTCATTAAAATATGCATATTCATTTTAAAATTTTCATTTTTCAAATAATATGCAGTCACAAACTGTGAAAAGTTATAAAAACATTAAATCATTTTTTTCCATTATATTATGCATAGTAATTTTTCAAATATGCAATGACAAATAAATTGAAAATAATTGCTCTTTACAATATGCATATTCATTTTTTTAAATAATATGCAGGGATGAATTTTGAAAATTATATTATATTGGCAACACCCTAGCAACCACCTAAAACAGCAGTATTGTGGTGTTAGTGACTTCACAACCTCTTTAATATACGGCCAGTGTAATTTTGAAACATTTAGTTTACACATTTAAATAATTTCAATATTAATCACCTCACACTGGATGACCTCCACGCTGACATTTACAGGCAGGACTAGATCGGGTTGGAAATGCCTCGCCATAGCCACCAGAAGATGCATTGTAGCCAAAAGGTCTCTACTGTGAATGACTGACAGATGACAAGGCTGGAGAACGGTGGACATATACTTATAAATATGTAAATAGGTTAGTGACAAGATTTGATTTGATTGCCTCATGTTTAACATTCCATTTGGCCGTTTCCTCATTCAGCCCTAAGGTCTCGTTGAGAGCTGTCAGGATCACCTCTAGTTTCCGTACCTGGGCGTCAGTGCTCAATGCGATCTCCTCTATATGTAACTGAACCCCCGCTACCCTGCCTGGGATCAAAACATGCACAGACTGTATATAGAGGGTTATCTTTCGCCTCAAAAAAGAAAAGAAAGAAGCCTTTTATTAGAAACATTTTTTGTATTTTGCCTTAATTTTTATGACAATTCAAGAATAGTTCACCCAAAAATGGAAATTTGCTGAAAAAGTACACATCCTCACGCCAGATGTAGATGAGTTTGTTTCTTCAACGGAGCAGATTTGCAGATATGTAGCATTACATCACTTGCTCAGCAATGGATGCTCTGCAGTGAATGGGTGCCGTCAGAATGAGAGTCCAAACAGCTGATAAAAACATCACAATAATCCACAAGTAATCCACAGCACTCCAGTCCATCAGTTAATATCTTGTGAAGCGAAAAACTGTGTTTGTAAGAAAATATGATGCCATAATACATAATATTGCTTTCTTCAGTGAAAAAGTAATCTCATCTGAATCAGGAGAGAAATATGCTTGGATGAAGCACCATTTACAAGCCAAAACAGTCCAAAACAGCTCTAAACAAATATGTGGGTGGATTTTGATGTGAGAGGACAACAGGGGATGGACAAGGGATGGTCAGATGTGAAGTTTGAAGTTCAGCTTTAATGATGACTTTGTTTCTTACAAACATGCAACTTTTCACTTCACAAGACATTAATTGATGGACTGGAGTGGTGTGGATTACTTGTGGATTATTGAGATGTTTTTATCAACTGTTTAAACTCTCATTCTGACGGCACCCATCCACTGCAGAGGATCCACTGGTGAGCAAGTGATGTAATGCTGAATTTATACAAATCTGTTCTGATGAAGAAACAAACTCACCTATATCTTGGATGGTCTGAAGGTGAGTACATTTTCAGCCAATTTTCATTTTTGGGTGAACTATTCTTTTAAGCATGTGAGGTTCACCCAATAATGTGCCTGTTCATAATTCTCTTGCTCTGAGTCCATCATAAAAATCCACAGATATTCAGACACCCCTCAAGAAATGAGATTCTCATTGATATCAGAGGGTTGGTTAGTACAGTAACTAATGAATTAGTAGACGTTTTTAATAACTCAAACCTGAAATCTTCCAGTTATCAGCCCTGAGCATTAGCCACTATGCCACACCACCCTAAAAAGATGTTAAGTATCCCACCTCTTTAAGTTTGTTGAGTGTGGGGTCTTCTAAAGATGTCGGTTGAATGATCATTCTTCTCTCTGCTCCTTAAGACCCACAATAAAACACATCATTTGCCACATTATCAGGCTCTGGATGCTTATTTGCTTTCAGCTAAACACTAGGTCTGTCCTTCATAAAAGACTGTGACTGCATCCTAATTCACATACTATACTTACTACATAGTGTGGAAGATTAGGATTAGTGTGTTCTGAATCCTAGTATATTAAAAATAGCAAGCCAAATGTGCACATTGAGCTCGTTCTGATGCTTTTCAAAACTCATAACCCCTTGCAATGTATAAGAGGAGTTTGTTGCAAGTCTCTTTTAAAATTGTCAATTGTACATTTTTTAATGTAAAAAGCTAAAGTAAATAGAAAATTAATTAAAATGAGTTGCATGCAATTTCAGTTGTTTAGGCTTAATTAGACACACCCTTTCCCGAAACCACACCCTCCAAAGACCTGTCATCCAATCCAATGTCAGGAATCGCTTAATTGTAAAAGACATGGACAGAAAACATTTTCTGATTGGCTTCTTACTGTTTAAAAGACTGTAGCCTAATTCTACAAAAAATATGATTGGGTGTTTTTAATTCAATTTTGAGGACAATTTTAGAGTCTTTACAGTTTGGTCAAATATTAAGTCAAAATAGATATATTAAAAATGAGGGCTGTAATTATTCCCAGTTCACGCATTATACTGGAAATGAGAGGTCAAGTTGAGCGCATTGCAATGTGAGATATACTGTTCGGTTTAGTGTGCTCTAGTTGTATAATACACATAATGGCATACGTAAAAAGGTATTCCATGCATATAGAACATTTGCATGTTTTGCACAGTATATACTGCATAAAAAGTAAATAGTAGTACTAAGACATGTGTGGTTTCTTAGAACATACATTTTAGTGATATAGGCTAGCCTATGTCAGGTATATATTGTGCCAACACTGGTGTATATACTGTAGCCAGTTTTGTTCTTTTCCATTATTAGCTAAGTACATACTTTAGGCCTACATTGAAGAATGTAAATTGGGAAGCCGTCCTGACATTGTCATGATGTTGTGATGATCGCTCACCCTGACGATTGGAGAATTCGCCCTTTTCCTCTTCAGCTGCACAGTCTGCCATTCTTTTGACTGTTTCAAAACAGTTTTTGTCAAAAAGTGAACTGTATTAATAGTTTCACTCAGCAGACATTTGATTTCTAGTGCTTCTGTTCGAAAACCAAGTGATGCTCGTTCGGGTTCTGTCTGCGTGTTTGTGTCCAGAGGGAATTTAAAGGACGCGATTAATCTTGAGGTTTTGTTTTCGGATGGACATTTTTATGGCAATGATGAAGTACGGCGAACCGAAGCCGACTTCAAACGTCAAAACACAAGGACGGAGAATCTCCACAACACACAGCAGACATCTGCGGGAGTCGGCACTGATCTCACGCTGAACGGAGGAGAACACATGGAGCTCGGAGATTTCTGCCTTCCTGCATCACGTACGCCAGCCCACATTGACATAACACAGACTGACGGGCAAAACATAAACCTCTCTGACAACAAAAACATGCTGCGGGAGAGAAAAACAAGATGGAAAGAGAAAGGACCGTCTCAAATCTCAACCATCTCTTCCTCTTTAAAACAATAGTTGGCCCAGATTTACGGTCGTGGAACACAAAATCGTCCTTTAAGGTCCAGAAAGTACATAAAAGCATCAAAATTCTCATTTTAGAGTGAACTGTTGCTTTTAATGTCTAGCAATAAGGTAAAATGGAAAGCAAATTGAAGCTTTAGCTTCACAGATGTTTCTCCTGAGAAGAAAAAGTCAAAAAATATCTCAATAATGTCTCAAACTGTGCTCGTATGTCAAAAATATCTCACTTTTATCTGAGATGTTATCCATATTCATTTTATATAGCTTTAATTCATGTACAATTTTATCCATTTTGATTCTCCAAAAAGTAATCTCATCTGAATCAGGAGAGAAATATGCTTGGATGAAGCACCATTTACAAGCCAAAACAGTCCAAAACAGCTCTAAACAAATATGTGGGTGGATTTTGATGTGAGAGGACAACAGGGGATGGACAAGGGATGGTCAGATGTGAAGTTTGAAGTTCAGCTTTAATGATGACTTTGTTTCTTACAAACATGCAACTTTTCACTTCACAAGACATTAATTGATGGACTGGAGTGGTGTGGATTACTTGTGGATTATTGAGATGTTTTTATCAACTGTTTAAACTCTCATTCTGACGGCACCCATCCACTGCAGAGGATCCACTGGTGAGCAAGTGATGTAATGCTGAATTTATACAAATCTGTTCTGATGAAGAAACAAACTCACCTATATCTTGGATGGTCTGAAGGTGAGTACATTTTCAGCCAATTTTCATTTTTGGGTGAACTATTCTTTTAAGCATGTGAGGTTCACCCAATAATGTGCCTGTTCATAATTCTCTTGCTCTGAGTCCATCATAAAAATCCACAGATATTCAGACACCCCTCAAGAAATGAGATTCTCATTGATATCAGAGGGTTGGTTAGTACAGTAACTAATGAATTAGTAGACGTTTTTAATAACTCAAACCTGAAATCTTCCAGTTATCAGCCCTGAGCATTAGCCACTATGCCACACCACCCTAAAAAGATGTTAAGTATCCCACCTCTTTAAGTTTGTTGAGTGTGGGGTCTTCTAAAGATGTCGGTTGAATGATCATTCTTCTCTCTGCTCCTTAAGACCCACAATAAAACACATCATTTGCCACATTATCAGGCTCTGGATGCTTATTTGCTTTCAGCTAAACACTAGGTCTGTCCTTCATAAAAGACTGTGACTGCATCCTAATTCACATACTATACTTACTACATAGTGTGGAAGATTAGGATTAGTGTGTTCTGAATCCTAGTATATTAAAAATAGCAAGCCAAATGTGCACATTGAGCTCGTTCTGATGCTTTTCAAAACTCATAACCCCTTGCAATGTATAAGAGGAGTTTGTTGCAAGTCTCTTTTAAAATTGTCAATTGTACATTTTTTAATGTAAAAAGCTAAAGTAAATAGAAAATTAATTAAAATGAGTTGCATGCAATTTCAGTTGTTTAGGCTTAATTAGACACACCCTTTCCCGAAACCACACCCTCCAAAGACCTGTCATCCAATCCAATGTCAGGAATCGCTTAATTGTAAAAGACATGGACAGAAAACATTTTCTGATTGGCTTCTTACTGTTTAAAAGACTGTAGCCTAATTCTACAAAAAATATGATTGGGTGTTTTTAATTCAATTTTGAGGACAATTTTAGAGTCTTTACAGTTTGGTCAAATATTAAGTCAAAATAGATATATTAAAAATGAGGGCTGTAATTATTCCCAGTTCACGCATTATACTGGAAATGAGAGGTCAAGTTGAGCGCATTGCAATGTGAGATATACTGTTCGGTTTAGTGTGCTCTAGTTGTATAATACACATAATGGCATACGTAAAAAGGTATTCCATGCATATAGAACATTTGCATGTTTTGCACAGTATATACTGCATAAAAAGTAAATAGTAGTACTAAGACATGTGTGGTTTCTTAGAACATACATTTTAGTGATATAGGCTAGCCTATGTCAGGTATATATTGTGCCAACACTGGTGTATATACTGTAGCCAGTTTTGTTCTTTTCCATTATTAGCTAAGTACATACTTTAGGCCTACATTGAAGAATGTAAATTGGGAAGCCGTCCTGACATTGTCATGATGTTGTGATGATCGCTCACCCTGACGATTGGAGAATTCGCCCTTTTCCTCTTCAGCTGCACAGTCTGCCATTCTTTTGACTGTTTCAAAACAGTTTTTGTCAAAAAGTGAACTGTATTAATAGTTTCACTCAGCAGACATTTGATTTCTAGTGCTTCTGTTCGAAAACCAAGTGATGCTCGTTCGGGTTCTGTCTGCGTGTTTGTGTCCAGAGGGAATTTAAAGGACGCGATTAATCTTGAGGTTTTGTTTTCGGATGGACATTTTTATGGCAATGATGAAGTACGGCGAACCGAAGCCGACTTCAAACGTCAAAACACAAGGACGGAGAATCTCCACAACACACAGCAGACATCTGCGGGAGTCGGCACTGATCTCACGCTGAACGGAGGAGAACACATGGAGCTCGGAGATTTCTGCCTTCCTGCATCACGTACGCCAGCCCACATTGACATAACACAGACTGACGGGCAAAACATAAACCTCTCTGACAACAAAAACATGCTGCGGGAGAGAAAAACAAGATGGAAAGAGAAAGGACCGTCTCAAATCTCAACCATCTCTTCCTCTTTAAAACAATAGTTGGCCCAGATTTACGGTCGTGGAACACAAAATCGTCCTTTAAGGTCCAGAAAGTACATAAAAGCATCAAAATTCTCATTTTAGAGTGAACTGTTGCTTTTAATGTCTAGCAATAAGGTAAAATGGAAAGCAAATTGAAGCTTTAGCTTCACAGATGTTTCTCCTGAGAAGAAAAAGTCAAAAAATATCTCAATAATGTCTCAAACTGTGCTCGTATGTCAAAAATATCTCACTTTTATCTGAGATGTTATCCATATTCATTTTATATAGCTTTAATTCATGTACAATTTTATCCATTTTGATTCTCCAAAACAATTGTAGGAGAAACATCTGAGACATAAAAGAGAAATACATGAATACAGTCCAGCCTTGTTTGTTGTCAAAACTTTCACCTCGGCTCTCGCCACACTTCTGGAGAAGGCTAGTGGGCCTGCAGACGAAATGTCATCCAAACGGTCCGTCACCTTTACTACAAGCATCGATCAACTTCTACAACACAAACGACCATCTTTCTGAATTGACTAAAAACAAAAACAAAGAACCAGACATTTTGTTCTATTTTGTAGAAGCATAAATCATGTTCTAAACAGTCATACACGGCATCAAACACACATAAGACCCTCTAACAGGCTGTGCACGGGGCCTAAACATGACATTTGAGTCAGTAACACTTACTAGTAAACAACCAAATAGTGATCCAACGTTTCCTCTTCAAATAACATGCTCCAGGTTTGAGAACAACAATTGCATATATTTTCCACTCTCTTACTGTGATGGAGAGAACGCCTCGCTTTGACTAGAAAAACCAGAGGTAATTTGGGCTGGAGGGTTACCATGGTTACCATCCCAATGAATTCCCCCATTAAACGCAAGTTTGAATTCAGAACAAACAACTGAAAAAAAGACCCTCAAAGGAGCATCTGAAAACAACAGGATTACTTAGATTCAGACTCACCCATCTGTTGATGTGTTTACATTCTGCGTCACTCTGAGAGATACAATCAGACTGGAAACTACGGTTTACGTATTCCCAAGAAAATGAGAATGGGGTTTGCCCATGCAAAACTAGCTAGGGTGTTGTTAGGCAGTCGCCTGTTGTTAAGGTGTTCTGAGTAGTTGGTTAGAATGCTGCTATGTGGTTGCTAAGGTGTTCTGAGTGTTCTTACAAGATGCTATGCAGTTTGCTTAGGTGTTTGCTAGAGGGTTGCTATGTGGTTGCTTGAGTGTTGTAAGTTGGTTGCCAGGGTGTTGCTGTAGGGTCCCTTATGAGTTCATGCAGTTGTTAAGACAGTCCGAGTCTAATAACAACTCAGACTCAATCACTGATTGCGTCAGTATTCTGGGTTGTTGCTAAGGCATTGTTATTCAGTTGCGGAGGTGTTCTGGATGGTTTTTAGGGAGTTGCTATGCAGTTGGTAGGGTTATCTGGGTGGTTGCTATGGCTTTTTTGATTCCCAGGTTTTCAGACTGTCTGTTATTATGTTGCTATGCGGTTTGTTGAGAATTCTAGGTGGTTACTCGAGTGTTGATATGCAGTTGATTGAGTGTTGTGCGTTGGTTGTTAGGACATTGCTGTGTTGTTGTTATATGAATGCTATGCAGTTGCTAAGATGGTCTGAGTTTAATAACCACTCAAACTACACGCCTGGATATTTTCTGTGGTTGGTATCATTCTGGATGGTTGCTAGGGAGTTGCTATGCGGTTTGTAAGGTACTGTGTGTGTAGTTACTGTGTGGTTGCCAGGGCATTGATACACGGTTGCTAAGGTGTTCTGAGTGTTTTTACATGATGCTATGTGGTTGCTTAGGTGTTCTAGGTGCTTGCTAGAGTGTTGCCAGTGGTGGCTAAGGTATCGTTATGCAGTTGCTGAAGTGTTCTGGATGGTTGCTAGGGAGTTGCTATATGGTTGGTACAGTGCTCTGGCTGGTTTCTGGGGTGTTGCTGTGTAATTTCTTGGGTTTTGTAGGTGGTTGCCAGGACATTGCATGGGTGTTCAGATTTATTGGTAATGTGTTTCTAGTGAGGTTGCTTATTGGCCGAAGTCAAATTAACCCAACCCCAATATTCTATAATAGGACATCATTGAACCCCAGAATTTGAATCACTACTGTCTCCAGCACAAACTCAAAAAGTTACAAGTTTAATATGTATCATTTGGCTGTTGCAAATCTATAACACTAGGCGTGAGCAATACTTATAATGATGCTTCTTGTAGCAAACAGTTCTAAATAAATTAAAGGTACAGTGTAGGTCTGTCATAATGAATCACACCCACAAATGAATCTTTAAACCTGTGTGCATGAAGGTGAAATATCTATATGGACCAAGGTTTTTAAGTATGAATAATTCTGTGTATGAAGACGTGATACTCAGCTGCTTATTTTGATCAAAAAAACTCTATAAATTAATTTTTTGAGACCATCAAGACCCTCTGTTCAAATTCAGAGTCAAAATGTCCAAATTAATTCATTCCAGAATGTAGGAAGTCCTTGTTTATTTGAAATAATTACAGCATTCTATTAGAATAAAATACACAGTGCATTCCAGGACAAAAAGTCATTCCGGTGTAGTGCTTAAAGCAGTGGCAGGCCTTGTTTACGTAAGTCAAATGCGAGAAAAATAAAATATTTTAATGAGCTGCTACACTGATACATCATTAAGGCTGGATACATTCGATTCTGGGCATAAATAAGCCAAATAATACAAAATATTTCATTCTTATGTACAAAAGTAACACCAGAAATGTGTGAGCGCAGACATCCTGGCGTCAATGAGGCATGTAGCAACCTTCCTCGCATCGCTTTCAGTGTTACTCTGAGTTCTTGTAGTTGGTGAAAAGGTTGTAAAGCACCCTGAGTGTTGACTTCAGATTCAAGTTCACCACGTCTGCAGGACACAAACAACAGATTCGCTGTTAAACAGACAGGGGCTTGAATATGTTACCTGTCATTGTGAAGGAACACAGTATGTTTAGTGAGAGTCATCAGGGGAAGTACAGTGTGCTGCATCAATTGAGGAACATCTCCATCTAGTGGATAATGTGGTTAACACCATGAACAGGTGCAGACAACGCGCTAGTCTGTTATGATGTCTAAAGGTTGTCCCTGATGTAACATTGCTGGCACTGATTTTTCTGGTACCTTCTGGTCGTGCTTTGGGTTTCTGTAATCCACCATCTTGCATGAGCTCAAAAGCAAATGCGACATTATGCACCTAGAGAAAAACAGAGAGAAAAACACTCTAGCAATCCTTTCTTTAGTAATTAGTACAAAACCAGTTTTATATGTTATAAAATAGAAAAGCTCAGGTAATTGTGAGTTTAATGCCATAAGGATTCCATAACCACCACATAATCAGACTTAAGAAGCCCGCATCAGACCAGATCAGATTCCATCAGACTTCACAAGTCCACATCAGACCACAGACTCGTTGAGAAGTATTTACAATGTAATCAGACTGGCTCTGATAAGTTTTGATGTGGACTTGCTTAGTCTAATGTGGTCTGATATGCTGTGAAGTGGTTTGATGTAGTCTGATGTGGATTCATAATGTCTGACAGGGCATGATGCACTTCTAATAAGGCATTTGAAAATAAACCTGTCCTCATCAAGCCACATCAGACCCTGTCAGACTTAATGATTTCACATTAGACTCAAGTCCACATCAGACTTCATAAATACTATTCGAGATTGATGTGGTCTGATATAGTCTGAACAGCATTCATGAAGTCTGATTGGTTCTGATGTGGTCTAGTATGGTGTTGTTTGATGTAGTCTGATGTGGATTCATGAAATCTGACAGGGTCGGTTGCAATTGAATGAGGTATCTGAAAACAAATCAAACCGCATCAGGCACTGTAAGACTTAAGTCCACATCAGACCCAATCAAACTTTATAAATACTATTCATCTAATGAGACTGATGTGGTCTGTGTGTGAAATCTGATAAGGTCTGATAATGGTTTGATGTGGTCTGATATGGTGTATTTTGGTCTGATGTAGGCTGATGTTGTTTGATGAGGTCTGATTTGTATTCATTGAAGTCTAATGGAGCTTGAACAGACTCAGATGTGGACTTGAGTCTGATATGGTGCATTTTGGTCTGATGTAGGCTGATGGGGTTTGATGAGGTATTCAATTAATACAAATCAGACCTCATCAAACCACATCAGTCCACATCAGATCAAAATGCACCATATCAGACTCAAGTCCACATCTGAGTCTGTTCAAGCTCCATTAGACTTCATTCGACCCCAACAGAACAATTCAGTCCACTTCAGACCTCACCAGTCCATATTAGACCACCCTATGGCACGCTTACCTTCTGTTCGAAGCTTTCAGGCGTGAGGTAGAAGTTGTACAGCGGCACAAAGTAATTTTCTAACAATCCCATCAGCAACACCAGATAGACACCATCTGCAAACTTCACACACACACACGAAGAGGTTTTTAAGCGGTTTTGATTGTAAAGATCTGTGTGAGAGTTAACAGATGATGTTTATACCTGTGATTCCAGCTCCGTCACCTCCAGGTTCAGTTTGTTCAAGTGTTTATTCACAAATGTAATCAGCGACTGAAGAAACAGACATTGAAGGTTCATTTTGGATAATAATCAGTACCGTCCCATCCGAATCCAGTTCTTACCGTTTTCACTACGTTCAGTTTGTCAGGTGCATGATCCAATAACGTGTCAAAAGCATCACGTTCTGCAAATGACAATAAAATTTTGTCAAAAATCTGGTAAAAAAATTTTCGTATGTTTGGTAGTATATACACTTGTGGAAATTCCAGATAAAACCAACTCCTGATGTTCACTAGTTTTATAGGTTCTACTTGAATAAAACAGGCCATTTTACACATATAGCTGGTCTAGATGGTTGATTAGCTGGACTACACTGGTTTCAATCTGTCAGATCACCTTGATCAAGCAGATTACAGCTGGTAAACCACCTTGGACCAGCAATGAACCAGCTACAATTTTCCAAAAACTAGACCTCTGTATGATCCTTAAGGAAAAACATGAAAATGTGTGTGAATACCATAGACTGTACAAAAACATGGACATAGTGTCCGTGACGTCAACCGTAGTTTTCCGAAGAGCATTTTTGAAGCCTAAAGTAGGC